TTGCATTATACTTCTCATTTGAAAAAAACTTTCATTAAAATGATAGAAAGCAGAGCTACTACAAAGCCTGCTTTGAAGAAGTCTGTGGGGTTGTCCCCAGGATGATAGGAAGCCCTCTGACACTCAGTTGGCTCTGTAGTCTTTTGGGAATTAAACACAGTACCACAAGTTAGATTGCTCAAATGAAAAACAAATAATGATCTCTAAGAAATCTTAAACAGGCCGAGCAATGTTTGGATAGAATTATGCAACTAATAGAGTAGCATTGTGATATGATGTTTATACCTAACCTAAGAAAAACAATGCCAAGTCCATAAGTGGATGGACTCACATTGGTCTGTTGTAAAATATGTGTCAACAACTGTCCAACATTCCCTCTCTTGGATCCAAATAACTCGAGGAGACGAGGACTGTGCCGGTCGATGCTCTCATAGAATTCAGTCTTGAGGTTCTTGCCCACAATCCTGCTGAACTCCATGAAGACCTGAAAAATACAGAGAACAATAAAAATCTGAATTTAGATCAACTGAACTATACAAGGCAGCTAAGCCATCTGCGAAGTAGTGCTTCCTGAAAAACATCCATGAATGTGCTTTTTATACGATTTGAAATGTTGATGTTTAAATTAAAAACATCATGCCCCAAATTAAAAATACCAATGTTTCCTTTAAAGAGGACAAGAGAAATATACATCTAGACACATTATATAATAGAAAGATAATTATTTGTTATGTTCTCTTTCTTAAACATACTCGATCTTCAGTGAAAAGGGCAGGCCAGCATCTCACCATCGTGCTTATGGCAGGTTACCACTCCACTACTTTTCTTCTCAAAGCAAACGTCTGATCCATCTTCTGTTTCACAAGAGGTCCATTTGGTGTTCTCTTCTGCATTTCATAAACCAAGTCTTTACAGGCCTCCAGGGCTGCCTGATCAAATGCACACACATTGTGGGTGTAAGCAGGGAAATGGGACAGTTCTACCCTGCACACCTTCTCTAACCCCTGCGCCAAGACGACCCAGCCCGTCCTCAGGTGTGACTTTTCTGTTGTTGTTAGTTATTTTGAGATCAGTGGCCATCACCCCCCCTCTTGGCTACTTCAAATGTATTTATTAATTTAATAAAATAAAAATAAAATTATTAGTAGTATTGTTCAGTAGGTTTTTTTCACCAAAACAGGAAAATTACCCACTGAATAAATAAAGAGGCATGAACATATTAAATCATGTTTATGAATAATATAGGCTATTCATATCATGAAACATGTTGATATTTGTAAATAAACAGCCTGTCATTGACGTCCAGATGACGTCCACAAAACTTACCCGCTTCGAAGGTCAAATTCTGAACGTAAATATGTTGTCCAAGTTGGGTCATGGTTGGACGTCCAAATAGTGGACCTAGTATGGACGTCGAATAGATGTCCAGAATTGGTCATGGACCGACGGACCCAATATAGACATGATCTGCACGTCTATCCGACGTCCAATGTTTAGTGGGTGTATAAAAGACACCTGTCCACACTCCATCAAACAGACGGCAACCTCTCCACAATGGCCCAGTCCAGAGAGCTGTAGCTGTGTATCCTTGCATCCTTGTAGCCTGCAGCCTTCAGCAGCCTTGGCGGTGGACCTGGCTGGTCCTCCATCAACCGTACAGGCTGACCCGAGCGCTCTCTGAAATGGGACGGTCTGGCCTACGGGGGGGGGGGCATCCTGCCTGTGTCGTCACCTCCACCGCTCCCGTTACCTAGCAACCTGCTGCGCTTGACAGTAAAAGTCAATTAACTTGTATGCAAGGACTTCTTATTTTTCTATTGCATAGGATACAAGCTCTGTTAACTGTAACTTAAGATCTTACAGAATATGTCCGAGCTACAGTAGCTGAACGTCACCACACATCGTTCTCCTTCAGCTTGATGCTTCCTCCTGTTCCATCAAACAACTAAATGTAAAGTTAGTTTATAATCACACCACAAAACAAAAGGAGCAAAGCAAGTTCAGTTTCTTTGTGTATGTATTCTGTAACGTATTCTGATATTTCAGGTTTCTAACTTGTCTACTTGAGCTCACTTTGTTCCATTTCTGTTCACAATTGTTGAGTTGCGTTACTCGCATTCTTGCAGCTAACGTTGCATTCGGAGGAAAAGAGCGGACGATTCAGATGAGCCACCTTTAGCCGTCTTCGGCATATTTATTTCACGAGCTGCCGTTGACACATCAGTCTCAGGGTCAGACGGCCTTCATCACTTCTTCATACAAAACGGCAAAACATTTTGGGACAAACAAAACAGCAATGCGAACGAGTGCCCCCTTGTGGCTCCTGCACAACACAGATCAGCACTGTACTACACCATCACCACAACTGAGGACATAATGAACATATCCCACACAGTAAAATCGCCAGTGTTAATACAACACTTAAAGAGTCAATTTTAACACTACCTCAGTGAACATATGGTCCCTATCTACAGAGTGTTAAATGTACACTGAACACAGAGTTAAATTTCCAGAGTCAATTTTACTCTGGTTAGAGTTAAAATTTTACACTAGGTGCAGTGTAGTGTAATAATATTAACTCTAAGAAGTGTCAATCAAGTTTTACACTATGTAAGAAGTAACACCCATAGTGTTATTCACATGTAACACTAAATAGTTATAAAAGAAATAACCTTTCCAGTGTTAAACCTACTTTACACTATGTTGATTATGAAATCACTCCAAAGAGTGTTGATTTTTAACCAACTCCTACCAGTGTTGCATATCTATGCAGGGGGAAAAACACACAGACAATTGTATCCATACTGTAATACATATTTATTCCAAGTAAACATGAAATATTGGCATCAAAAGTAAACCTAAAACATGTAAAGCTCACATCTTATCACAGTGGCAAAGATCTTGGTTGGTGCTGGATGACAGGACTGTTTTGATCAACATGATGGTATCTGCAAAGACAGCAAACTGAAATCAACATTATGATCTACAACACCATACAAGCTGACAACCTGAAAATACCCTATTTCAGCTTTAAAAATAACAAACACAACTACATTTTCGGTCAAGTACATAAACTTATTACTTACCACCAGAGCACCACAGTACATTAAAGAACAACCTGAAAGAAAAAAGGAAAATATACATAATAAGTAACTACGTAGACTCCTCCGCCGTAGCCTGACGTGCACCTCCGAAAAAATCTAACTGCGAGTCGAGTTGACGTGGACCGCAAGTGCTGTGATTGGTCCGCTCAGAACGTAATTTGCGGCAGTTGCTGACATTCGAAAGTATCGAAAGTGCACTTGCTCGTCCAGGTCCCTCAGTGGGTGAACCAGTGTTGTAAATTCACGTCTTCTCCATAGCCTGCGCTTCAATATGAGATTCGGCTCACCAAGGATTCGGCACCCGCAGAAACACACAGCCACACCCGCCTAGCGGCATGGGGGGGAACTGCAGAGCAACGGAGAACTTGCTCAATGACGGGGTTACGCCGCCGCCGTAACGTGGAAGCATACATTAAGCTTACAGCAGCTACAGCCATAGACATAAAGAATATACATCGACCGCTGCTGCCTAGTGGTGCTGACGAGCCGCGGGGCCGCCAACTTGGACCGGTCACCCGCTCCACTCAGTGCCAGCTGGCGCAACGAAGTGTCAGCGCATCACTCGCTGAATACAAAAGCGGATGTTCACGGGATTTTGTAGGCATGACACCGAAAACATGATTCGGCGTATTTTAATATTCATAGTAGGCGTAACAGTAATAATATTCTGGTATATAATATAATAAAAAATATTTGTTTTTTTTTGCGCCTCAGCAGCCAATGCAGCGTCTACTCTTTATATATCTATGGCTACAGCAGCAGCTAACGGGAACCGAGCCTCTCGGAGCCGCGGCTCCGTTCACGTTAACTGGGTCGACTCGGTGCATTCCGCAGTCTGCCGGTGAACTAGCGGGTCCTATGAGCACGTCCGCATGTCCGCGACATGTCCCGCTATGCTCGACCAAATTGTGACGTGACGCTAAAGCGATTTGCTCCGGCTCAAATAGAAATAATAAATATGACTGCTTCAACGAATTTTTGTCGTCATTTTACTGAAATAAATGTGCAAGCATGACACATAACACACCACGACAGCTCGTCCTCGCTGACATTAACGTTACCTCGTGTCGTTTTTGTTCAGTTTGGTGTTGCGAGGTCAGACATGTGGCTGCTACATTTAAGCTAACCACCCACCCGATAATCACGTTAGCCATTTGAAATTCGGTATTTGAAGACACGTACCCAACATTGACTAGTGTGGTGAATGAATACGTCCCTTTATTCTTATACAGATTCTACTGGAATGAAGAAAAACAACGGGAATAGTTTATAGTAGAAAGACTTACCACAGTATTTCGATGCGAGGAAGATGGCGATGCCAGAATCCACATTCTCAGTTTGACCGGGAAAGTTGGTGGGCGGGGCTTTCCAGAGTATTTTTTGTGATACTCTGGAAGGTATCTTGCTCTAATCAGTGTTGAATCAGGGCCTGAGAGAGTCAATAACACTGACAGAGTAAAACCTCTGTTAACTCCGATTATTTTCACCAACACTGGAAGTTTTCTGGTTCAATTTTACTCTGTCCATTGTTGGAAGAACTCCGGAAGAATTAAAATAGTTTGACACTGCCTTTTTGACACTGGCAAATTTACTGTGTGGATTTCCTTAACCAGCCAGTCCTTGTAAATCCCCTTTGAGAGCCAGGAGTCCTGGAGTGTTTGAAAAAGGTGTTTCCATCACTAAAAACCTCTCCTGCCTTTGAAAAGACTCTCTGCTGGTACAGAAGTGGCAGTAATTCCCAGGTATCTCACTGCTAGTTTGCTCAGGGCTGGGAAGGTTTGGTCATGTTCTTTCCACCAAACCAGTGCATCCCTGTCTCTGGGAATCACTTTTTCTTCTGAGTACCGACGTACTTCAATGAGCACATTGCTGGTAGCTGACCGGCGATGTTGTCCTGACAAAACCTGCATGTCAAAATCAGTCCATATGCCTCCTTTTAATACAGCTGAACCTGAGGGGGCAGGACTCTGGTTTGGCTCTGAGGCAGAAGGCCCAGAGGAAGAAGGCCCTGAGGTAGAGCTAACAGTAGCTGTTGAGCTTGGGGCTAAACTGGGAGCTGCCTGTCCTGTCTGATAGAATTCCTGTATTTCAGAAAGGAGACGCTTTTTCATTACCTCCACATTGTCTTTGTCTCGAAAACCAACATGTTTGAATCTAACATCCAGAAATGTACTGGCAGCTAGACAGTAAATTCTCTGAATACCCCTGAATCTGCACTGACATTGCTGTGCCAGTTGTGTGGCAAGGGAGCTGCCTTGACGTTCACAGGCTGCTACAGCCCTGTGAATAAGTGACACAAGCGGAATCACTTTGGAGACTGAAACATACTTTTCAGATGAAACCTCTCGTGTCACTTCTTGAATTGGCCATAGTGCATCAACTGTTTGCTTGATGAGGGATAATTCTCCCTCATCTAAGCACAATGTGTTCCTCCCTAAAAGGCAGAGGGCTGTGGTCGCAGCTTCCTTTTGCTCAAAGAGCCTCTCCAGCATGTAAAAAACGGAATTCCAGCGAGTAGCTACACTCTCAAAACAGATGTGTTAAAAATAACACATCATGTGTTAATTTTTAACACATCTGTGTGTCTAGTTAAGGACAACACATTCTGTGTTGCTTTTAACACAGCCAGTGTGTCAGAACATTTAACACACGTTGTGTGTTCTATATTTCAACATAACAATGTGTTAAAATAACCCAAAAGATGTGTTAATTTAAC